GCGCCACCACCCCCGGCCAATAAATATTTTTAAAAAGCTTTCATCTATGCCCCTTTCTAAAGTAACCATCCTACAGTTACTCTTAAAGGCCCACGCCTTTAATCCCAGCACTTGGGAGCAGAGGCAGGCAGATCTCAAGGCCAGCCTTTTCTACATAGCAAGTGCCGGGCCAACTGGGGCTACAGGGAGACCCTGTCTCAAAAGACCAAAAAAAAAGTACAGAAGTTTGGGCTTGGGTGAAGACTCAGTGCATAAATGTTCTTGTTAAGCGTTAAGATCTGAGTTGATTCCTATGGACCCACATGGTGGAAGAAGAGCACCAGCTTCCCCAGGTTATCTAAGACTTACAATGCATTTGCTGTGTGTGTCCCCACCCTACAAAATAATAAATTTTGTTCTAAATTTTTTATTTTTAACTAAAAAAAATTTTTTATGTGTATAGTGTATTACCTGAATGTATGTAAGTGCACCTGTGTCATGGATGCCCACAGAGGTCAGAGGAGAGTGTCGGATCCCCTGGAACTAGAGTTACAGACAGTTGCTAGTCTCTGTGTGAGTGTTGGGAATCGAGTACAGGTCCTCTGCAGGAGCAGCCAGTGGTCTTAACTGCTGAGCCATCTCTATAGCCCCCAAATAAATAAATTTTTAATATTATGTGTATAAGTATTTATACCTGCCTCTATGTGAGTACACCCATGTCATACAGTGCCCATAGAGGATAGAAGAGGGCATCAGATCCCATGGAACTGGAGTTATATACAGTTGTTAGCCTCCATGTGGGTACTGCAATTCAAACTGCAGTCCTCTTTACCACTGAGCCTTCTCTCCAGTTTCCAAAATAAATAAATTGGTTTTAAAGGTGAAAAGTGATACAAGATATCTGATGTGTACTTTTGGCCTCTGCATGTGCATGCACTGCACACATCTGTAGTTTATTAGTACTTCATATCCATTTACAGCAGAATAATTTTTTTTGTTGTTGTTGTTTTTAAGTCTTTGAAACAGGGTCTCCATGTAGTCCCAGCTGGCCTGGAACTCATAAAGATCCACCTGCCTCTGCTTCCTGAGTGCTGGGATTAAAGGCATGTACCACAACACCAGTGTATTCAACTCTTTAGCCCCACAATTTGTCCACTTGTTTGCTGCTTGATGAATATTAAGTTGTTTCCACTTTTTAGCTCTCAGGCACTAATTCTGCTGTTTATTCAGGTGCTTGTATGGACATGTTTTCATTTTCTCAGGAAGACGCCTACATGTGAAATACTGGGTCATAGTGTAGCATGTTAAGAAAGCATCAAGGGAAAAATAAGAATAGTCTTCAGGGGAGCCAAGCTGGTGCACACTTTTAATCCCAGCACTCGGGAGGCAGAGAGGCAGGCGGTGGTGCAGGCAAAGTTCTGTGAGTTCAAGGCCAGCCTGGTCTACATAGTGAGTTCCAGGACATCTGGGGCTACTGGGAGACCCTGTCTCAAAAAAAAAAAAAAAAGAAAGAATAGTCTTCGGGGGCTGGAGAGATGGCTCAGCGGTTAAGAGCGCTGACTGCTCTTACAGAGGACCCTGTTCGATTCCCAGCACCCACATGGCAGCTATGAACCATCCTTAACTCCAGTTCCAGGGGAATCCAAAGCCCTCTTCTGACCTCCACGGCATTGCATGACACGGGTGCACTCACATACATGCAGCAATACACTCAAAATAAAAAAATTAAAATTAATAATTTTGAACAAATGGTGCTATAAGATCCTACACAATACAAAAAATAAGCTCAAATAGATCATCGGCCTAAGTGCAAGAAGTGAAAAGAAAAAAAAAAAGAAAACATAGAAGTCTTTGCAACATTGGATTAGCCATTGGTTTTTCATATATGATACCAAAATCACATATGACAAAAGAAAACTGATAAATTGGACTTCATGGAACTGATAACCTTTTGTACTAGAAAAATACCTTCAAGAAAGTGAGTTACTTATATCTTGATGAAGATTTCCAATTTTAAGTGGTAAAGGACTTAAAGTATATGCATGACTGATAAAACATGGGAAAAGCTTTGTGATGAATCAGTCAGCATACAGTAGAGATGCCTGCACACCTGTGACTGTGACAGTGCGATCCATAATCACCAAGGTGTGGAATCAGCCTCAGTGCCCTTTGAAGGAAAATAGATGGAGCTGGAAATCAGCATGTTGAGTGAAATAAGAAAAACTCAAAAAGATAAATAACCACTTGCTTTCTTTCTGTCTGGACTCTATGGGAGGGTAATAAACATGAAAGTACAATGTGGATTGGAGAAGAGGAGGGGAAGAAGGGAGGAAGGGTGCAAGAGTTAGTGGAATAGATAAATATGACCAAAGTCTGTTGTGTGAATGTATGAAAAGTGTCACAGTGGAACCCATTATATACCAATAATGTTTTTTAAATGATAACTAATGTAATTTGTTTGTAGGGAGATACAGATATAAAACACAAGTGGGAGAATGGTTGAGGAAAGATAGAACAAGAGAGGATACCTTAAATTTTTATTCTTACTATTTTTAATTATGTATGTTGTATGCAGGTAGGTGCAGGTTCCCTTGGAGGCCAGAGGTGTTGAATCCTTGGAGCAGGATTTACAGGCAGTTTTGAGCCACCTGACATGGGTGCTGGGAATCAAAGGAAAATCTAAACACAAGAATGTAACACTTCATACCACACCCACATCTGGGGTGACTGAAATAACATACTGATGAAGATTTGGAGAAAATAAAGCCCTCATGCATTGCTGTTGGAATTGCATAATAACATAGCTCTTCTAGGTTACACATAAAATTGTCATATGACCCAGAAATTCTAGGAGTATGTCTACGGATACCAATTCCATGTGTCCACACAACTTAACATTAATGTTTTAGCATCATTTGCAATCATCACAAAGTTGAAAAAAACTAAATGAAACTAGTTAATGGGTAAGCTGCATGGTGTAGCCAGTGATGGAATATTTGACTATGGAAATCAGCAAAGTTCTGTGTTACAATACCTTGTGCTAAATGAAAGAAGCCAGTTAACAAAAGACAGTGTAGTACAATTGCATTCATGTGGACTATTCATAATAGGTAAACATAGATCTCAGCAGCTGGGTAGACATGGGAAAGGGAAGATTATGGGATTTCTTTTTTGGGGTGAAGAAAATGTTCTGAAATAAGACATGATGGTATAGTTTTGTCTACATACCCAAACTCACTGACATCTACCTTTTTTTTCTGGTCTTTTTTTATTTTTTATTTTTTTAATGCGTGTGAGTGTATTGCCTGCACGTATGTGAGTGCACCCGTGTTGTGCAGTGCCGCAGAGGTCAGAAGAGGACGTCAGATTCCCGTAGAACCAGAGTTAAGAAAGTTCGTAGCTACCATGTGGGTGCTGGGAATCAAACCTGGGTCCTCTGCAAGAGCAGTCAGTGCTCTTAACCACTGAAATATTGCCCGGCGAAATATTGCCCATTTAAAAATTGAGTTATAGCCAGGTGTGGTGGCACATGCCTTTAACCCAGCACTTGGGAGCAGAGGCAGGCGGACCTCTGTGAGTTCAAGGCCAGCCTGGTCTACATAGTGAGTTCCAGGACAGCTGGGGCTACAGGGAGACCCTGTCTCAAAAAGACCAAAAGGAAAAAAAGATATTTTAAGCATTTCTGCAAAGTCCTTTATCAGATTTATGACTCTCTCTCTCTCTCTCTCTCTCTCTCTCTCTCTCTCTCTCTCTCGTCTCACTCTGTTTCACTCTCTCTTTCTTTCAGTTTTTTAAAAGACAGGGTCTTTCTATAGCCAGAACTGGCCTGGAACTCACTATGTAGACCAGGTTGGCCTCTCACATAGATCCACCTGCCTCTGCCTCCCAAGTGCTGGGATTAAAGGTTTGTACCACCACACCTGACTTTTTTCTTTCTTTTTTTAAAGTGTGTGTGTGTGTGTGTGTGTGTGTATGATATGTATGTGTATGATAAATATTTGTAGGTCTGTATTGTGTGTGAGTGTGGGTACACCATGTGGGAGGTCAGAGACGATCTCAGATGTCAGTCCTCACCTTCCACTTTAAGACAGAGTCTCTCATTGCTCACTCTTATGTACACCAGGCTAGTTGGTCTATGAGCATCAAAAATTCTCCCATATCCACCTCCCTGTAAAGGGAGCATTGGGATTATAAACATATGTACTACTGGGGATCCAGACCCGGGTTACTGAGCTTGCCAACTACCCGACCCGTTTTTTATTTTTGAGATAGGGCTTCATGTAGCTCAGACTGGTCTCAAACTCACTGTGTAGCCAAGGCTGGCCTTGCACTCCTTCCTGATCATCTTGCCTTCACCTCCCAGGTGTTGGATTATAGCTGCCTTGCCTCTATATCCAGCTCATCAGTTTGTTTGCTTGTTTTTGGTCTTTTCAGGGGGAGGTCTTTTTGAGACAGGGTCTCCCTATAGCCCCGGCTGTCCTGGAACTCACTATGTAGACCAGGCTGGCCTTGAACTCACAGAGATCCACCTGCCTCTGCCTCCTGAGTGCTGGGATTAAAGGCATGTGCCACCACACCCGGCCCTGTTTTTAGTCATTTTAAGACTTTTAAGTGTGAAGTCAGTAGCATAGTGAGTTAGCAGAGGTATAGTCCAGGGTAGCCTCATGATCTTTCTGCTTCCACCTCTTCAGCATCATGCTACTGATATGTGCCGCCACAACCGGCTTGATGCAGCTTTTTAAATTTTTGTCATTTTAATTTTATTTGCTTTGATTCTATACTTGATTTTAGGTAGAAGGCCAAAAATTCAATGATTGCCTTAAATCTATTGATTAGTTTGAGAATTGCCTTCTTAACAATACTGAATCTTTTGTTCCTGAACAGAGAGTTCTTTTTCCTTCTCTAAAACCTTTTTGTTTTCTTGAAAGGTATTAGCTGGATGTGTTATATTGTTCTGGCTGCATACTTAGTAAACTCAAGATTGGAAAACAATGGTATCTTGTAACTTGCTTTGTTTCTGTATCTTAAGGGTCTCCAACTGAATTCCTTGAAGAGAAAATGGCCTACCAGGATTATCAAAACAGCCAAAGCTGGCCAGTAGACACAAGCTTTTGTTTCCAGCCTCAGCAAATGTTGAATCCTAACCAGACTGGTAAGTGCAAGCTTGTATCTGACTGTAACCACTACTCACATAAGCATTTTCTTTTTTTTTTTTTTTGGTCTTTTTGAGACAGGTTCTCCCTGTAGCCCCAGCTGTCTTGAAACTCACTATATAGACCAGGCTGGCCTTAAACTCACAGAGATCCACTTGCCTCTGCACAGACTCTGCCTCCCAAGTGTTGGGACTACAGGCATGTGCCACTATGCATGGCTTTTTAAAATGTATTTATTTATTTTTTATTAATTAGTTTTTAAAACATTAAAAATTTTTTAAATTTGTTTTATTAAATTTTGTTGTATTTCATACAGAATATCTCAATCTGAATCATCTTTAAAGCCCCATCTCCACCAGCACCTTCCCATACCCCTCCAACTGGAACCCATATACTCTGACCTGGGTGTTAAGGCCCACTGTGTCAAGCTAATGTCTCCAGGATTCCCAGTGCAAGTCCATCCTCTTTTGGTCTAGTCAGATCCCTCTCATCTATCTATCCAAACACCTATCATTTTCTTTCTTATTCTTTTTTTTTTAACAGAGCATAGGGTAGGGATTTATTTACAGAGGTGTGGGCTCCCCCCATTTATGGCTGCACTGGAAAGTCCACACTCAAATATAGATCCTGTGACTTCCCAATAGCCACAGAAAATGATGAGAGAGGTGCCTCTTGGCATTCTCAACTTAAAAAAATTTAAAGATCAAAAAATTTAAAAAGCAGCTTGAGATTTAATTCACATATTATTACTTAACAGATTTTTACTATGTGTGTATGTGTACACATACATACACAATCGCAGCGCTCATGTGAAGTTCAGAGGACAACTTTTGAGCATCTGGTCTTTGCTTCTACCATGAGTTCCCAGGAGTAAACTCAGGTCATCAGGCTTTCACAGCAAGTGCTTTTTCCCACTGAGTTATCTCACTGCCCTTAAATCTGCTTTAAAAAAATATTATGCCAGTTGTGGTGTTGCGTGTCTTGAACCCCAGCACTCAGGACTCATGAAAGAGGATCTCTGTGAGTTTGAGGCTAGGTTGGTCTCCATAGTGACCATACCATAGTGACATAATGAGTCACTGTATAGACCAGCCTTGCCTGGAATGCACAGAGATCACCTGGCTCAGAGACGGTTAGAAATACAATTTTTTTCACAATGTTCACATAGGAGGAACATTTCCTTTTCTGAGTTTCTTCTGTAGAAAACATTCTAGCTGACATTTTTTTTTTTTTTTGGTTATTTGGTTTTGGTTTTGAGACAGGGTCTCCCTGTAGCCCCAGCTTACCTGGAACTTGCTGTGTAGACCAGGCTGGCCTTAATCTCACAGAGATATGCCTCTCAAGTAGCTGATGCCCAGCTCTCAACATAGTTTATGGGTTTGGTTTTTAAATACTTATTTGTTTGTTTATTTTTATTGTGCATATGAGTGTTATGCCTGCATGTATGTAAATGGACCTGTGTTGTCCATTGCCCGGAGAGGACAGGAAAGGGTTTCAGATCCCCTGGAACTGGAGTTATGAATGGTTGTTGGCCACCACGTGGGTGCTGGGATTTAAACCTGGGTCTTCTGCAAGAGCAGCCAGTGTTCTTAACCGTTGGGCCAGCTCTTCAGCCCTGAGTTTGGTTTTTTAATCCCCCCTTCTCCCCAACACTGAAATAACAAGCATGTCTACCATATCATGCTTTTTTGTGCATGCTGGGAATGAAACTCAGGTCCTCATGCTTTTGTCACAGGCATTTTATTGACAGATCTATTTCCCCAGACCCTGGTTTTTTATTTTGTTTGCTTTTGATTATTTTTATTTTATGTATATGAGTGTTTTCCCTGCATGTATATAGGTGCGCCTGTGTCATGCAATGCCCCCAGAGGCCATAAGGCAGTATCAGGTCCTCTGGAACTGGAGTTAGGGATGATTGTTAGCTGCCATGTAGGGGCTGGGAAGTGATCCTTGGTCCTCTGCAAGAATGGCCAGTGTGTTAACCTCTGAGCCACTTTTTAGCGCCTGCTTTTTTTAAAAAACAAAACAAAACTTAAAATGAATGTCTTTTAGTATATATTGAAAATTCCATTTCCTCTATACTTAGAATATTAGAGCTGAATATAAGCTATGCTTTAGTTTTATATGTTTGTTGGCTATTTGACTTAGACAATCAAATCTTAAGAGAACAAGGGATTCCATTTTATTATCATAACACATGAACTAGTGAATGTTCATGATTTCTTTGCCATGTATAGTCATATATTATCTCAATTCATCTAATTTGCTACTGACAATACAAATGTAACTAGTCAACATTCTTCATAGGATAATAAAAGATGTTAATTTTTCTAATTACATTCTCTGAGAATGAGTTTTGTATTGTTTCTTTATTCCAGACCCCTTTAAGATGCATGATGATAGTGGCCTGGATGAGTTGCTGTTTCTCTCCAGTGGACCCATGAATGCTCCAGCAATCACAGGGCAAGATGAACCCCTGGAAGACAGTTTCAGTATGGCTTCCACTAGACTTACTGTTTCCTTCTCCTGTCTTATATCCACACAGCAAAAGACAAATGATTAAGAGAAAAATGAAAGGAACTAATTTTTTTTTTTTGAGGCAAATTTTTTTTTTAAAGTCTTTTTGAGACAGGGTCTCCCTGTAGCTTCAGCTGGCTTGGAACTCACTATGTAGACCAGGCTGGCTTGGAACTCACAGAGATCTGCCTGACTCTGCTGGAATTAAAGGTGTGCACCACCACACCCAGCTGAGGCAAATTCTTAGTAGCTCAAACTGGCTTTAACTGTGCAGCCAAGGATGGCCTTGAATTCCTGATCTTTCTCCATTTACCTTCCAATTCTGGTGCTACTGTCCCCAAACTAAAGTGAGGTTGTAACATAATTTCATCTATATATGGGAGGTATTCAGGGAATCAAAGAGAACTTTAGAATTATACCTTACATAGCACCTTCAACAAAAAACAAGTGGCAAGACAAAAGGTCTTCTAGGTTCTCTAGTGGCAAATTAGAGAATTAACACTTGGGCTGTTCAGGGACTGGTGACCTGCTTTCAAAGGATCTTGAGTACTATAACTTGAGTACTATAAACTATGATCATATTGTGTGTCCACATTTTACTTTTTCACTGTCTGGAAATAATTCTTTCAACTTATTATTAATTTTAATTTTTTATGCATATATATTTTCGGGGGGTCTCTTTTTGAGACAGGGTCTCCTTGTAGCCCCAGCTGGCCTGGAACTCACTATGTAGACCAGGCTGGCCTCGAACTCAACAGAGATCTGCCTGCCTCTGCCTCCCAAGTGCTGGGACTAAAGGTGTCCTCCAGCACACCTGGCTTTTTTGGTCTTTTTGAGACAGCTGTAGCCCCAGCTGTCCTGGAACTCATTATGCTAATTATATTTTTTGAGACAGGGTCTCCTGTATCAAATTCATTATGTAGTAAAAGATTACCTCTTCTAGCTGGGTGTGATGGCGCACACCTTTAGTTGCAGCCCTAAGGAAGGCAGAGGCATGTGGATCTCTTGTGAGTTCCAGGCTACATAGCAAATTCCAGGACAGCTGGGGCTCCAGGAAGACCCTGTCTCAAAAAGACCCTCCCCCCAAAAAAGGTATTTGGGGAACAAAATTGGACTGAAAAAACAAGGAGCCTATGCCAGATGGCACATGGCTTTATCCCAGACTAGGGAGACAGAGGCATGCAGATCTCTGTGACATGAGGCCACCCTGGTCTACAAAGCAAGAAAGCAAGTTTCTGAACAGCCAGGGCTACAGAGAGACCCTGTCTCAAAAAACCAACCCCCCCCAAAAAAAAGTAGAGAACAGAAGGTGGGGGAGGGGTGGTGGGTGGCAGTGGACAGGGAGATGGGGTGAATCTGAGAGAAAAGGTGAAGGGGTTTGAATATGGTCAAAAAACATTGTATAAAAGTCAAAAGAATCAACAAAAATATCATTAAAATAAATCTTTTAAAAAATTACCACACACTGAAGAATACCAGAAGTCTTTCCTGTAAAAATTTGTAATGGCTTTATTAGTCCATAGTTGTGTGTCTTCTTGGAAATACATGCAGCTGATTTAAACTATCTTAAAACTTGGTGACGAAGTTATAAGAATGTGTTTGTGTTTCAATATTAGGTGTGCCTCCCTATGATACCTTCACTCCCACAACTGTTGTACCCCAAGAGTGGTCTGTGGAAGCCCCAAACTCTCCACACTTGGAGACCTTTGTTTCCCCAGATGCGGTTACAGAAACTCTTCAACTAGCAACAGGTAAATCATTAAAAAAAAAAAAGTTTTATTAATTATTGGTTACAGTATTAGTAATCAATATGTTGTTTTTCAGCAGCTTATTGTAGGTACAGATAAATATTTCAGAAGTATTAGGAATGTTTTTAAGCTTATATTAGTAATAGCACATCATTATAGCTTCAGCACAATACTTGAGATTAAATGGAAAAGAATTTTTTTTTTTGGCTTTTTGAAGTAGGGTCTCCCTGTAGCTCCAGCTGTCCTGGAACTCACTATGTAGACCAAGCTGGCCTTGAACTCACAGAGATCCACCTGCCTCTGCCTCCTGAGTGCTGAGACTACAGGCATGTGCCACCACGCCCAGCTATTATGTGTATAAGTGTCATGTCTGCATATGTGTATACCCATGTCGTTCAGTGCCTGCAGAGGACAGAAGAAGGTGTTAGATCCCCTGGAACTATAGACAGTTGTTAGCCACCATGTGGGTACTAAGATTCAAATCCAAGTCTTCTATAAGAACAGCCAGTGCTCTTAACTGCTGAGCCATCTCTCCAGCCCTACATGCAGATTTTTAACACCAGAGACTTATTTTTTTGTTTTGTTCTGTTTTGAGATGGTGTCTTAAAATGTAGCCTATGCTAGCTTTGAACTTGAGGAATTTCTCTTCCTCAGCTTCCCAAATGCTGGGATTACAGGTGTGAGTGCCATGCCCTGTTGTGTTATTTATTCTGGTTTTTTTTTGTTTTTGTTTTTTGAGATAGGGTGTCCCTGTAGCTCCAACTGTCCTGGAACTCACTCTGTAGACCAGACTGGCCTCTTATCTCACAGAAATTCTCCTATTTCTGCCTCCCAAGAGCTGGGATTAAAGGTGTGTGCCACCATGTCAAGTGTGGCATTTATTCTTAATGAGAAGAATAACCACTGGCTCCTTTCTAATACTGATCACGTACCTGTATTATTTAAGTGTATATTTTCTTTGCCTTTTTTTTTCACTTCTAGTCTTCTTAGTACACTTGCTCTTAGCCAAAAGGCCAAAAAATGACTTCTTGTCTTTTTTTTTTTTTTTTTTTTTTTTTTTTTTTTTTTAGTCTTTTTTGAGTCAGGGTCTCCCTATAGCCCCAGCTGTCCTGGAACTCACTATGCAGACCAGGCTGGCCTTGAACTCACAGAGATCTGCCTGCCTCTGCATCCCAAGTGCTGGGACTACAGGCCTCCACACCTGGCTGTTGCTTGTCTTTTTTGTTATTTCTGTTTTGTTTTGGAGACAGGGTCTTATTATGCAGCTTCAGCCTGGAACTTGCTGTGTAGTCCAAGCTGACCTGGAACTTGAAGATACTCACCTGCCTCTGCTTCTGACAATTACTTGTCTCTTAGCATCATATATATATATTATTCTTTTAATACATTAATTTGCTAGCTTCCTATTTAGATGTAGGATTTGATCTTCACAAAAGCCAAATAATTTTTGTGCGATAAGAAAGTAATTTTCAGGACCGGAGAGATGGCTCAGTGGTTAAGAGCATGGCTGCTCTTGCAGAGGAGCCAGGTTCAGCTCTCAGCACCCACATGGCAGCTAACAACTGTACGTAACTCCAGTTCCAAGAGATCCGACAGCCTCCTCTTACTTCCTTGGGCATTGCACAACATGGGTGCACATACATACATGCAGGAAATACACTCATGTACATAAAATAAAAATAAAAATAATAAATAAAATTTTAAAAAAGTAATTTTCAAGCCGGGCATGGTGGCACACGCCTTTAATCCCAGCACTTAGGAGGCAGAGGCAGTTGGATCTCTGTGAGTTCAAGGCCAGCCTGGTCTACATAGTGAGTTCCAGGACAGCTGGAGCTACAGGGAGACCCTGCTTCAAAAAGACAAAAAAAAAAAATTTTTTTTTCAAATGCAGAGCTATGATTAGGAAATAGCGGGCCCTAAAGTTTTGTTTTATTTTTTTTTAAGACGGAGTTTCCCTGTGTAGCACCGACTATAGCTGACCTGGGACTTGTTATGTAGACCAGGCTGGCCTCAAACCCACAGAGATCTGCTTGCCTTTACCTTCCAAGAGCTAGCATCAAAGTTGTATGCCACCACACCTGGCAAATCCTGAAATTTTTAACTTATTTTCCTTAGAGCCATCCAAGGAACTAGAAATGGAGTCAGTAAAAGAGCAGCCCCCACCTGAAGCATTGGAAATGATGGGACAGAAGACTACTATCCCAGTCCTATCTACTGAAACAGGGGTATCCACAGCCCTTGACATGACACCAGCCACAGAAACAGAGGTAGCATTGACTGAAGATATGGAAGAACCCACCAAATCTGATGTGACAGTGGAAAAAGACATACAGCCATTCATGGATTCAGATATATCCCTGGTCAAGGAAATAGTACTACCCACAGAAGCAGAGGTGGCTCCCTTTAAGGATGTCATCTCGCCTATAGAAGCAGATGTGTCTTCAGCCAAGGATATTGCACTGCCTGCAGAAAAAGAGGTGGTCCCAGGCGAGGATGTGACACTGTCCAAAGAAACAGAGCAAACAATTCCTACAAAAATGGATTTGGTCCCACCTGAGGATATAGAGATAGCCCCAGCCAAGGGTATGGTATCACTCTCAGAAATAGAGGTACCACTGGATAAGGACACTGATTCAGCTACAGAAATACCTCCAGCTGAGGAGATGGCCTTGTCCTCCAAAACAGAGGTGGTCCTAGCAAGGGACATGACATTGCCGTCAGATACCATGATGGTTTTGACCAAGAATGTAGCACTGCCCTTAGAAACAGAGGGAGTTCTGATCAAGGACATGACTCCATCCCCAGAAACAGAAATGACCCTGGGTGAGGATACAGCTCCACCCACAGAAACAAAATTGGGCATGGTTAAGGACACAGCTCCACTCCCAGAATCAGAAGTGGCCCTGGGCATGGAAGTCACTACACTCCCAGAAATAAAGGTAGTTGAGCTCAACAGTGTTACCCCACTTTCAGAAAAAGAGGCAGCCTCAATCAACAATGTGAAACCAGAATCAGAGGCTGCACCAACTAAGGATGTAGCTCTGCCCCCTGGAACAGAGGTGACCCTGGACAACGTTACTCCAGCCAAGGATGTTACACCACTCTTGGAAACAGAAATAGCACCAATTCAAATGAAAGACAAGGAAATTGGGCAGATCCAGGAAGGACTAAGTGAAGATTCCCACTTAGAACCTGTGCAGCATGAGGGACAGTCAGCTGTACCTCCTTCCATGATTTCACCAGGTACAGGCTTCTGCTTGTTCTCAGTATTTCTGTCACCTGGGATAGACTAAGGTGCAGATGTCATGCCAGGTAATAGATAGTCTCACTGCTTTGCAAGTCTACTCATTCCCGCTCTCCTTCCTTCCTCCAGTAGCTAGTACCTTGTTCACCCTAAATGAAGCATTAAGATAAAATGTATGCATCTCTGTTACCTCATCTACATAGTGACTTGTATCTGGTCTCTCTGTAGCCCCAGCTGGCCTGGAACTCACTGTGTAGACCAGGCTGGCCTTGAACTCAGAGGTCTACCTTCCTCTGCCTCCCAAGTGCTGGCATAAAAGATGTGCACCACCGTGCCCAGCTCTCTTCAGTTTTTATACATAAACTCTTTGCTCCTAAGTAAGGCTAATCTGTCCTGATTTTGCAACAAGTCCCATCTCTTTTATTCAAGTATATTGTCTCAGCCACCATTCTCCTTTCTGCTACTTACTAATTTAATCCCCTTTCCATTTGATCATTCCTGCCAGCTTACAAAAGTATTTGTTGGAACTGGGGAAATGGTTCAACCATTAAGAGCACCTGCTGCTCTTGCATTACCTGGTTTTGGTTCCCAGCACCCACATGGAGGGTGCCATCTGTATCTTCATTTCCAGGGGTTCTGATACCCTCTTCTGGACTCTGCCAGCACTGCACACACATGGTGCATATACATTCAGTAAGCAGAACACTCATACACATAAAAATAAATTTTAAAAAAGAGAAAAAAATGTTGAGTTTTGTTTGTTTCAAAATATTTTTTTAAAAGGGTCAACAAGATTGCCTAGTGGATAAAGGCACCTGCCACCAAGCCTAACTACCTAAGTTCAACCCTGGGACCCACATGGTGGAAAAATAGAACTGACTCAGGAAGTTGTCCTTTGACTTCCACATGTACACTGTGGCACACACACTCACACATACACTGCATACATACACACTAAATGTATACATAAAAATTAATTTAAAAATACAAAACCAGAAACCCACCTGCCTGACTGCCTTCCAGCTGCCTTTATCGGTTTTCTGCTGCCTGTTATAGAATGCTTCAAAAACTATTCTCGTCTCCAATCTATGACAGGTTAAAAAGAGTTGAAATACTATTTATCTGAAACTTAAATGAATTTTCACTATTATCTTTAGAACCAGTCAAAGCTACAGACCAAAAGTATAACTTGCCAACAAATGAAGATTCTGTGTTAGAGAAATTGGAGCCAAAAGAACCACTGAGCAGTCAACCTTCTGAACACTCAGCAGAGGCCTCAGGTAATGCAAAGTTGCTGTTTTGACATAGCAGAGACAGTAATACTGTGTGCTGAAGGTAGACAATGTACCTCGTTCCTATGTTGTCTGGTGGTATTAGCACAAATTATGCCATCATTTTTCTTCAACAGATTCCATTTTCTTTAGGCAGAAAGTAAACTTGGTGTATATCTTTAAGTTACCACTCTGCCAGGGCTGGAGAGATGGCTTAGCAGTTAAGAGCTGTTCTTGCAGGAGACCCAGGTTCAAATCCCAGCACCCACATGGCAGCTATCAACTGTCCAAAATTCCAGTTCCAGGGGATCTGACGGCCTCTTCTGTCCTCCATGGGCATTGCACGACAGGGGTGCACTTACCTACTCGAAGGCAATACATGCCTCTGCTTCCACCTCTGGATTAAAGGTGTGCTCCACTGTGCCTGGCTCATATTTCACCTTTCAGTGGACCCCTAGCTGGGTATAGTGACTCATATCTATGTTCCCAGTGCTCAGTAGGTGAGGCAGGAAGCTAGCCTTGGCTACATAGCAAGCTCCAGACTCTCCTAGGCTGCATAGTGAGACCCTGTCTCCAAAATAAAACAAAGAATATCCCCAAATAATAATTTTTAATATTTTGAAACAGGGTCTTGCTATGTAGCCCAGGCTGACTGAATTTGTAGCAATCCTCCTGCTGTAGCCTCCTGAGTGCTGGAATTACAACTGTGCACCACCATGTCCAGTTCCAAATAATTCTTAATATACATTAAACTTGGAGATATTCTATCCTAAGATACTTTACTACTTAAATTTTAATTATTCATTGATCTTTTTTTTTTTTTTTTTTTTTTTTTTTTGTCTGTTTTTGAGACAGGGTCTCCTTGTAGCCCCAGCTGTTCTGGAACTCACAAAGATCTGCCTTGCCTCTGCCTCCCAAGTGCTGGGATTAAAGGCATGTGCCACCATGCCCGGCTTATTTGTTGATCTTTAAGACTACATTTTTGTCAGGCCGGGCACATATACAAATACATGATTTATCAGTGGATGATTTTTCCATTTACTTTTCTGTGACTGTGATTGGCATGTGAGTTCCTTAAGGTTAAAGGTCATGACTTCATTTAGAATCTATGAGCTTTTCACTGTCTAGGTAGCACCAAGTAGGAGCTAAATACATTGTTTTTTAAGTGTTTTATAGACTGAACATATCAGTAAAGCTTAATTAAGGGCTAATTGTGTACAAAATGAATCATGCCAGCATGCATAGATATTCAATACTAATCCTTGCCTTTGAGGTATTATTGAGATACTATGGAGTATATGTAGCCTCACAGGGTTTTTGAAAGAAGTTATAATGAACCTGAGGTAAAAAATAAATGTCAATATTTAGAGAAATTTGGAAAGATAAAGATAAGAAAAAAATACTACTTAAGTATTTTAAAGTTCTTTGAAATCAGTTTGGTGAGTCAGACTTGACAGGAGCTGTCACAGACCTGGTCTTAATGAGACTTTCCAGGAGCTTGGATATACACTGCATTCCTTTTTGAAACTCTTCGAAGGGTGCTCATCCTAATTGTTGAAATTGTTGTTAACCAGCTTAACATTAACTACATTTCTTTTGAGAAGTACATTTAGGAACAGAACATTGAAATCTAACACATTTGTCTTTTAAAGTAGGATGTTCTGGTTTTATAATGATAAGAGGGTATTTTTTTTTTTTACAAAAATATGAATTTTGTTTTGTTTTTGTTTTTTTTTTTTTGGAGACCCCAACGGCAGAGAAAATTTAGGGGCAGGGGATAGGGAGGAGGCCCAAGTGGGGGGGGGTGCAGGAAGGGGGGAGGAATTATTTGTTTTTTAAAGTATCATAAGTCTGGCCTTCTGGTCTGTTTTTGTAAAATCAATCTGATTGATTTGACAAAGGTTAGTATAATATTGGCAACAGAGTCTTGGAATTATAAATTCCTCCCAAAATTACAAAAGAGAAAGGACAAAGAGTTTACCATCTTGTGATAGAAGTGGGGCTCCATTACCTATTAAAAATTACATTCAGCACCCGCATGAAACCATCTGTAACTCCAGTTCCAGGGGATCCGATGCCCTCTTCTGACTTCCACAGGCATTGCATGACATCAGGCAATACACGCATACACATAAAATAAAAATAATAAAATATTTAAAAATTTCAACAAATATAAATAAAGGAGATTTGTAGATATTAAACACTTACTATAGAAGTTAGAAGATTTGGAATGTTTTAATATATTGTAAAGATGTTTGAAATTCTTTATCTGAG